CCCTCTCAACCATCCGCCACTCCGCCTCCCGCCTTGAGCAGTTCACGCTCATCTTCCCACAGTCATGTGTCTGTCAAAGACATGTTTGAGCGTAAGAAAACAATGTCAGAAAGTCACCCCCTTGCCCAGCGTCTGACCGCTGGCTTGTCCGAGCTATTAGCCCACCAGCTTTTACCATACAAGCTGGTGGAGTCTGAGGCGTTCAAAAAATTTGTAGCTATTGGGACACCGCAGTGGAAGGTACCCGGCCGAAATTACTTTTAGCAAAAGGCAATCCCCAACCTGTACTCAATTGTGCAAAAGGAAGTAATAGCATCTCTGGCACACAGTGTTGGGGCAAGGGTCCATCTGACCACTGATACCTGGTCTGCAAAGCATGGTCAGGGCAGGTATATCACCAACACTGAGCATTGGGTAAACCTGCTGACTGCTGCCAAGCATGGAATGCATGGCTCTGCAGAGGAGTTGGTGACACCGCCACGACTTGCAGGCAGTCCTGCTGCCACCTCCTCTACCCCTCCTACTCCATCCTCTTCCATAACCTCCTCGGCTGAGTCCTCTTCTGCTGCTGCGTCTTGCTCCACATCAACGGCACCCCCCCAGCTCCCCAGGTATTCCACATCCCGGATCACGGCAGTGTCCGCGCCGTCTTGGGTTTTGACTTGCTTGAAAGCAGAGAGTCACGCGGACAAGCACTCCCTGTCGCCATGAGCGCTGCAGGTGGAAGAGTGGCTGACTCGCTTGGCGACTGGATGTCGGCCAAAGTGGTTTGTGACAGCGAACAAATTTGTTAGCGCATTGTTGAAGTTGAGGCAAGTTGTCACGCGTACGTGCGCCCAGCATGTGGTATGTCTCTGATAGAGTACAGCGCTTTGTGCATAAGTACATGGAGAAACACAGGGGCGGCGTCCTGAAGCAGGCCAGGGAGGAAGGTGTGTGGCCATTTCAGGCGTTCCTACACGGCCATGGCTCACTTTGCCGATATCCAGCGGCGAAACAACATGCCAGTGAGGCGCTTGATTTGCGACAGCCCGACACGTTGGAATTCAACACTCCTAATGTTCGACGCCTGCTCCAACAAGAAAAAGCCGTTAATGAATATTTGTATGACCGGGGTGCTAGGACAGCCTCTGGGGAGCTGGGAATTTTTTTGCCACGTTACTGGACGCTCATGCGCAATGCCTGTAGGCTCATGCGTCCTTTTGAGGAGGTGACAAATTTAGTCAGTCGCTCCGAAGGCACCATCAGCGACATCATACCATTTGTTTTCTTCCTGGAGCGTGCCCTGCGAAGAGTGCTGGATCAGGCCGTAGATGAGCGTGAAGGGGAAGAGGAAGAGTTGTGGTCACCATCACCTCCAGAAACAGCCTTATCAGCATCGCTTGCTGGACCTGCGGCAACGCTGGAAGAGGATTGTGAGGAAGAGGAGTCAGAGGAGGAATGTGGCTTTGAGGAGGAGGAAGAGGAGGAGCAAGACCAACCACAACAGGCATCCCAGGGTGCTCGTTGTCACCTATCTGGTACCTGTGGTGTTGTACGTGGCTGGGGGAAGAAAATACCTTCATTGACATCAGTGAGGAGGAGGAACGGGAAATGAGTAGCTCGGCATCCAACCTTGTGCAAATGGGGTCTTTCATGCTGTAGTGCCTGTTGAGGGACCCTCGTATAAAAAGGCTGAAGGAGAACGACCTGTACTGGGTGTCCATGCTACTAGACCCCCGGTATAAGCAGAAAGTGCCTGAAATGTTACCGAATTACAGCAAGTCGGAATCGATGCAGCAGTTCCAAAATCAATTAAAAAGTATGCTTTACACAGCGTGGGGGTGATGTCCGCAGCACAACGGAGGTCTAACAGGGGATGAGGTGGAAGTCGTACACTCTACTCACTCCCACTTGACCTACGCCCGAAGGCAGGACAGGGCCAGCTTTAGAGGCGTGTTGTTGATGGGAGACATGGGACCTTTTAAGTCCTCATGCGCCACAGCCCTTGGGATCCGCACCCTCAGAGAAGCGGCCTAGAGCCAAACAGGTAGCAGCAGACTACCTAGCACCTAACTGCAGATATCGACACTCTGAGGAGCGATGAACCCCTTGACTACTGGGTGTGCAGGTTTGACCTGTGGCCTGAGCTATCCCAATTTGCGATAGAACTTCTGGCCTGCCCCGCTTCAAGTATCCTGTCAGAAAGGACCTTCAGTGCAGCAGGAGGTATTGTCACTGAGAAGAGAAGTCGCCTAGGTCAAAAAAGTCTAGATTACCTCACCTTTATTAAAATGAATGAGGGATGGATCCCGAAGGGACTGACACTGGGCGATACATTAGATTTAAAAAGGCCTGATGAGATGAGCTGCCTTGGGCTAAAAATGGTCCACACACTGCTGTATTTTAGCTCTGAATGCCGGTTGACTTGCGTGACTTATCCGCCACCAACTAGGGTTCAAGCAGCCATGTTTTAGGGCACTTTCTGCCTGTGAAACAAACATCAATTATAGATTGAATAGCAGTTAGTTATCTTCAAGCAGGTGTGTCAGCCCTACAGCATGTACTCTGCCAGTACGCTGCCACCTCCTCTACTCCTCCTACTCCATCCACTTCCATAACCTCCTCGGCTGAGTCCTCTTCTGCTGCTGCGTCTTGCTCCACATCAGCGGATGGGGGCCGTGGCGCGGTAATTAAAACTGATAACAATGGTACTAAACACACCACTCCTATCTGGTGGCACATTGGGTGCAGCGCGGTACCCAAATTTGTTGTGATCTGTGAGTAAAGGTAGCGGTTGTCCGCTTCGTGGGTTGCAGCTTTTGAGGGGCCCACACCACCCACTTCATGCACTCCTTTTCAATGGCAGTGAATATACTTCGCTGTGCAAAAGTTTACAGCTTAGATAAGCCCCGGGTTGCTCGCCACCATCTGCTCCGACTTGGCTCAGTACTGCTCCCAATCCAAGCATAGAAGCGTTTGTATGGACGAGAAAGTGTTTAGTTGGATCAGGAGCAGAAAGTACAGGTGATTTAATGAGCGCCGTCTTGAGCTGTTGGAAGGCCTGTTCACACTCTGGGGCCCATACTACTATCTTGGGGAGGTTTTTACACGTTCCTATATGGCACTTACTGGGCTTTAGGGTCAGTCCTGACTCCCTAATCCGGTCTATTACGGCTCCTATGTGGGTCAGGTGTTCGGGCCAGGAGCTGCTAAAAATGTCTATACCATTCAAGTAGGTGTGTATCAGTGTGGATCAGGGATCCTTAGGACAGGTGTCAATCCATATCTGCCAAGTGACCC